TGTTTGTATTAATGTGGTTCGTCTGTATATTTCCTTAGTTGTTATCTAAATACATTCTTTGACTCAAAATATTGTTTGGTGTCTTTCAATAAAGTTCTTATATTTTATTTTGCCCCATTTCATCAACATCAAGAGCTTTTGAGGGTCACAGTTTATCATTTGCTTATATTTAACATTTCCTTTAGAAATTCAAACATATTTTCTCCAAAAAGTGTTGATTTTTGAACTACAGGACTACAACCGCTAAGACTACGACCGCAAATTTGTTCTGACCAATCAAAATCATAACGTGATAACGTGACTAACGTAAGCTTCATGTTCAGCCAATCGACTACTTTGACGTCATCGGCAGTCGAAGGACCCCGAGCCGATCCTGTACCGACACCGGGTCAGTCTCAGGAATGAGATGCGACACATCATTAAGTTTTCATCACATTAAATAAAAGAATAATTCAAATGTATAATTATTGTACGGCCACGACCTGCTGACTGATTTGAGTCACAAATTCAAGAATAAAAAATACTTTAAATAAATAAAACACAAAGCAAAATAGACAAGTTTATTATTCAATATATTTTTAAAAGAAATTTTCCCCTACATGACATTCAAAACACATCGATTTCATTTTCAGGAGATGAATATGTACAATTTAAAGTTTATCATTTGCCTCAGGCAGTATTATCAATTACGGTATAAAAGATCTTTACATAGCAAATACTGACATAGTATTCTGTCAAGGCAGCTTCCAGCATCAAAATACACAAAAAGTTCCACATAAAATATGGAATTACTGATCATTTTAAAAACATCCAAAATCCTGAAGAAAACAATCCGTATTCTCCTGTGGGTGATAAGAAAATCAGCAGCTTTCATAAATGCACGAAAAAGGAGTAGCAGCCAGAGAGAGAAATACAGCAAACTTAAAAATATAAATTCGTAGAAGGATTTACTCTGGAGGAGCGGAATAATTAAAGGCATTTAGATAAAAAAACATCGTGTAATTTGGCAAATATTTGCCTGCATCAACTCTTGTTCTTGTAAAAAGGGCGACTGCTCCTCCTATCCTGAGATGTTCTCTTCTGCTTGAAGGCATCTGAGGACATAAAGGATCACCTGATAGCAGAAGATATACTGATCCTATGAGGAAAAAATAAAACGTGTGAGAAAATGTGAGCCAAAGGAATGTCAAAGAAAACCAAACCAAAACATTCACCTCCGTCTGGATCATTCCTTGTCTCTGGAGTCTCATATTCCTTACGACATCTGAAATATCAAACTGGAAGAAGACAATAAAATCTATAAGACCGCAGTTTTTTTTTAATGCAGCTGTCAGTTAAACAAGATGGAGTCTGATGCTCACATCTGCATCTTTACTGATGAGGCCCAGAACCACATCTGTACAGATGAGGGCTCCGGAGCGTCCGATTCCCGCGCTGCAGTGCGTGATGATGGGTCCTGATCGGTGAATGTGGCGCATGTAGGAAATGAACATGAGCAGATGTTCCGGCTGGGACGGCGTTCCGTGGTCGGGCCATCCGGTGTAGTTCAGGTGAGTGACGATCTGGCTCTCACCGGTCTGAAAACAGGGAAATACAGACGTTAGCCCGTTTAACGTGTCAAAGGAGCGTCAGCGAGAAGAAATCAGGATACGTCACCTGGACATCTTTAACCTCGATGAGACGGATGATGAAGTTGTCCAGATGCTGGTCTTTGATCAGCGTTACCTGTAACCTGTCGTCCACCATCTCGGCCGTCTTTGGGGTGTCGGGCCAGTACCGTTGACATTTGACCTTGCCCCCCTCCACCTCCTGGGTCATCATGGCGATCACGTTGGACTTTTGCTCCCACACCATTTGCCAGAAGTCCCCCAGCGTGGTGGGCAGCGGTCCCTGACAGGCGATGTACCTGTAGGTCTCATCCTTCACCTGCATGTCGATGAAGTTGGCGTTGATGTAACCTCCATCTCTGCCAAGCTTCACACGAGTCGTGTCGACTGGAGGGCACAAACACAAAAACGTACTTATGTCCAACAATCTGAGTCCAGCTGGTTTGAGGAGAGCAAATATAAACATGACATGTTGCCCTGAAATGTGGAAACAAGTGTTGCGTCTCTTACAGGGAATGATGTTCTTGTAACGGTTCTTCTTCTTGTTCTCTTTAGTCTGACCGATCAGGCAGTCGTCCAGCGGCTGGAGGTTCTGAAGATTCTGCCAGGGGAAGAAAAAAAAAGACTTCAATCTCTTTTAAAGCGACTGACATTTGCCATTAAGTTTGAAACCAGCTGCACTGTTGGGGATGAAAGCAGCAGCCTCAGCTGCGCCTCTGAAGAAAGTTGGTTTACAGCTTCGCCCCCAGTCGCCTCGGGCAACTCATGAACCAAAGGCTCAAAACAATACAGCTCAGGGCCACTCGCCTCCTCCAGCAAACCTCCCTCCCTTTCCTCAGGTGAAGCAGGTGGAGATAAATTCTCCACTGCTCTGAAAGCAAAGGAGTGGGAGGAGTGAACAATGGGAGGAATAAGACGCTGGCGGTGGTAGAGGAAAAAATGTCTGCTTGACCCTTACCAATCTGGGTTCAAAAAGGGCCACTCCACTGAAACTGCTCTGTTAGCAGTGACTGAATCCTTAAAAGAAGCTAGAGTGACAGGCAAATCCTCAGTGCTTATCCTGCTCGACTTATCGGCTGCATTTGACACTGTCAACCATGGCTTCCTTTTGTCCACACTCTCTAGCATGGGCATCACAGAGAAAGCACAGGCCTGGTTTGAATCGTACCTCACAGGACGATCATTCAGTATCTTGGCTTGGACAATCCTCTACCGTGCACCATCTTGCCACAGGAGTCCCCCAGGGCTCTGTACTAGGACCTCTTCTCTTTGCAATATACACCACCTCACTGGGTGAGATCACTCGATAACATGGCTTCTCCTACCACTGCTATGCAGACGACACCCAGCTCTATCTGTCATTTCCACCGGACGACCACACTGTCTCTGCACGAATATCAAACTGTCTGACATATCAAAATGGATGAAATCCCACCATCTCCAACTCAACCTCTCTAAAACTGAACTACTTGTCATCCCAGCAAAACCATCCATACAGCACAATTTCTCAATCCAAAATGACTTCCTATCTCTGGCTCCTTCAAAGGCAGTTCGAAATCTGGGTGTTGAGATTGATGAACACCTGACCTTTAAAGATCATGTTGCCTCTGTTGCCCGTTCATGCCGCTTTGCGCTGTATAACATACGAAAGATCAGACCATACCTAACACAAAATGCCACCCAGCTCTTGGTGCAATCTACTGTCATCTCCCGCCTCGATTACTGCAATGCCCTTCTAACTGGTCTTCCAGCCTGTACTGTGAGACCTCTTCAAATGGTCCAGAACGCAGCGGCGCGTCTGGTCTTCAATAAGCCAAAAAGAGCACACGTCACCCCTCTGTTCATTGAGCTCCACTGGCTACCGCTAGCAGCACGCATCAAATTCAAATAGCTAACACTAGCATACAAAGTCCGAGATGGTACGGCTCCCATCTACCTGAATCCTCTTGCAAAGGCTTACGTCCGGCCGCTCCGGTCATCACAGGATCGTCGGCTAGCAGTGCCTACACCACGCTCAGGACAATCCAGACTCTTCTCATGCATCGTTCCACAAATGTGGAATGACCTTCCAAGCACTACCAGAACTGCAGCTTCCTTTTCAATTTTCAAGAAACTCCTGAAGACCCTGCTCTTCAGAGAGCATCTTCTAAACTAGCACCCTCCCTGCACCCCCCCCCCCCCCCCGCCCCACCCCCCACCATCCACTCCTTTGTTCCCTCCTCTCCATGATGGATGTCAAGTTGTTGTTATTGTTGTTGTTAGCCTCAAGGGCAACATGCCGATTATCACTTGTAAGTCATGTTGGACGACAGCGTCTGCTAAATACATAAACATTTACTCTTTCAAATATACCCTGAAAATAATATCTGGATTTCACTTTCTACTTATTCTAAATGTACACAGGATCCTTTCACTAACTGGCACAATGAACTGATCTCTGCACTGATAAGTAGGTTCGGTTGGAATGTTTACTTTGTAAAGTGTCCAGATGACTCTTGTTTGGCTGAATAGAAATTTAGAATTACATCAAATTCCTGCAGAGGGATTTTCTGCTCCAGGAGCCCTCTGATCATGCGGACCACCTTGTTGAGCTTAGCTCCAGAGTACTGGCCACCAGGGACCACTCTGACCAGGGGCAAACAGGTCAGCTCGTCCGTCGTGATGACCGGTCCGTCTGCGTGACAAAATAAAACTTAGGCTGACCTCTTTACAAATATTAATACACAACATCAGTAAATCTGCATTTACTAACAATGATTTTACTCCTAAAAGAGTCACAGTTGAAGGTGAAGCTCACCGTCTGTTATGTTTTCAACGGGGAGTTCGTCACTTCCCCACAGGATGTCATCCTCCTCGGGCTGCCCTGCACTCATCTGCAGATAGCTGGTGTTCCAACAGGAACAATAACCAGATGTTAGCATCTTTAAAAATAAAGAATTTCCTTCGTTTTCCCAAAGCCCAAACTTACTTTTCATTCCTTGGATCGTCAACGCTCTCCTCAAACAACGGCACTTTCCGAGGGGTCTGTTTACATTCAAACAGGGTTACATTCAAACAGAAACATGTTAAAAAATGTGTTTTATTCTGTTTAGTTTGTTTCGTACCACAGGAGAGTATTCAGGTAAGGAGGACTCATCACAGTCTGTGTCCTCTGAAAGCTCTGCGCTCGGCTCCGTCAGTCTTTTCTCCTCCGGTGGATCACTCTCATAGTCTGTCAAATACAATCTGACGTTTAGCACTTTCAAACTGGAACTGATTCTGATTTCAAGCTGGTGGTGAATCATACGGCACCTATGGGTGGTACTGAAGGGTTGCTGCCGGGTTTGTATGGTGAACAGAGCTTAGACTTCACCCCGCTGGCCTCACTCGGATCTGAAAGAAACAGAGAACCAATATGCTGAAACATCTGAAAAAGATCCTGAAAGTTAAGAAGACTAACTGAATAATCGGTTTCTACCCGTGTTCCCGTTACACTTGTCTGAGTTAATGGGTAGATAGTCCAGGTACGTGTTGGAGTTCTGGTCAGAAGGTCTGGATATGATGAGATGCACCAGGTCTTTGGCTTTCCGGATGGTGGTGACGGCTTTGGTGTGGGACACGCCTGTCATCAGCTCTTCATTTACCTGAAAAATTAAAAAATACAATCATTAAGCCCTTCAAAAAGCTTCTGTATGGTCTTAATTAGCTTGGCAGCCTGAGAAAGAACACGTTTTGTGACGCAGGACTTACTCTCAGCAGCCGGTCTCCCACTTGCAGCTTCCCCGACGACTCTGCGACTCCTCCTGGTGTGATGGACTTGACAAAGATGCCCCTCTCCCCTCCAATCACAGAGAAACCCAGACCTCCTGACGGCGGCTTCTCCAGGTCCAACATCATGATCTCCTCCTGCAGAAAGCAACAGTGTGACTTACTGCAACAGTTACTTGCTGTGCCTAACAACACTTTTCAAGCCACTCTGAGTAAAAATGAAACCAACCTGAGGTCAAGTTTTAATTAAACAATTAACAGGATGTGTAGGAAGAAGGATTTCTTCACTCACCTCTGCAGGACTAAGTGCAACCAGATCCTCAGCATCTCCCGAATCACTTCCTTTAAGAAAACCTTCAAGAAGAAAAGCCCAAACTGATCAGATGAGAGCTAGAAGGAGAATTAAACAACAAAATGTGTTTTAAGATGTCAGACAAACCGTTCATGCTGGAGGAACCCTTGGAGTCAGCTCTGTTTAGAAGAAAAGAGACACTTTTCTGTCCAGGAACCACGGGTTTTCCATTCCTGAGGAGAAGAATGTAGAAGCAGAAGGAAAAAAATGATAACTTTTTTCACTGAAATTAAAGTAAAAAAAACAAAAAAAACAGGAACTATAAAAAAGGGTCATTTTTTCTGTGTGCCGTCTACCTGCTGGCCTTGAGGGTGAGATTATAGAGGTAGAGCTCCAACAGCCTGGTGCTCTCTCTGAGCGTTAGCTCCTGGGTGGAAGTGCCGTTGATGTAGTGGATTAGGTCAAGTGGCCTCAGGCTCCCTTCCTTAGATGCCAGTGACCCGGGGATGATGTCTTTTATGAACAAGACCCCAAAATCACTGTCGGCGCCACCGCCCAACACCAACCCTGTGACAAATAAAGGAACATGACTCACAATGAAGTTCTACAGACATCTGCTCCTGAGGTCAACACATTTAGAAAGTTGTCACTTACCCAGTGGTTCCCGATCACTCTTAAAACAAATATCAGGCAGCTCATGGGCTTCCATGGGGGGTTTTGGAGCCTCCAGAATCCTCCCTACGACCAAATCAACCACTCGAGGCGCTACACGCACCAGACTCACCACCTCAGAGTGGCCCATGTTGCTCACATCCACGTTGTTAACCTGTCAGCAGAAAATAAAGATTTGCTTTTAACGCAGAACAGAACAGCTCCTGACCGTTATGCTGATTATCTGAAGGATTTGTGTGTAACATAGGGCTGCAACAAACGATTATTTGGATAATCGATTAATCGGATGGGGTCTCGACACGATTAATCGATTAATCGTATTACATGGGGACATTTTTAAAAACTGCTAGGGAAACGTTATTTTTCTCCTTCCTTCACTTTATTAAACACAACATTATTAGAAAACAGTTCAATAGCAGAAAAACAACATGCCATCACCTAAATTGTCTTATAAGGTGTATAGACAGAGACCCTAAGCTACACCTATCTGTGACCTAAAATGCTTGGTCCAAGTTAAACAGCTTAAAGAGCAAGTCAACCCCTACCAGAGTCTAACTCCACTCCCACTTCATGTTTGAAAAATGCAACACATGCTGTTGCCTGGCAGACCGAGAGGGCGGAGCCGCTAACAAATACACACACACTCAGGCTCATGACAGCATTGTGACATCATAATGTACCAGTTTACATCATAGCCAATAGCAGTGGCAGATTTAAATTAAAATACAGTGCAGAGTTTTTACCTGACAACGGCACAACACTGCCAGTTTTAGGCAGAATATTTAAATTTTAACTAAGATGCACTGAAGTGCCAAATTATTGACGACACGCGTCTGCAGCACGATTAGACACTCGTTTATTTAGTTCATCAGCAAAAAAAAGTTTATTTGGGGGTGACTTGCTCTTTAAGGGCAATTCTCATCTGTTTTGTTTGATCTCATCTGTAGACATTTATTATAATTGGGGATGTCAAACAACAAATTTTTAAATGTAATTAAATATAGGCTGTGAATTAATCAAAATTAATCACTATTTCCAAAAATGACTGAAAAAATACCAAATAAAACAAAAGAAAATGAATGCCATCCTCCTTGGGCAACTGCCATAAAGTCACATCAAGAAATGCTGCTGATCATTCCAATGATCCCAAATAGACTCGCATTAGGCCACATGAAAGCAACTGAACCCAAACATATATTAACCAGTATATAACTGCACTCTCACACAACACGCCTGCAGCAACAGTTAGGACTCCTCCCTCCCTTTTAAAAGCGTTTTCGCTTCTGAGGACATTGTGGTTGTAAAGCCACATGTTAGTAGTCTGGCCCCGGTGTGATCAACCAGTTTCTGCGGGAATGTGACGGCGGAACCGGTTCGCAGCGGCGCGAGTCCGTCCCCCCCCCCCCCCCGCCTATCTAATAGCGTCGTGCTTACAATTTTATAGACTTTTTTTTACGAGCTTAGGGCATGTCTAGCCTGTGTAATAATCCGGGGCTTGGGTGAATCACTTTTGAAAAGTTTTTAACTTACCCGGACACCGAGCTCTCTCCTTCCTCGCTGATGATTCTGACATGCTTGCGTTTAAGACGCTGCATCATCACCGTAGTATCCCCGTGCCATGCTAAGTCTGACCTACAAACGTTGCATGTCTTCGCCTGATTTAACTGAAAATGCTCCCAAACTTTAGAAGTTTTTACTTTTTTGGGTCTCGCTGCTTCTGCCATGTTCCTCTTGCAAACACCTGCCAGCTCTCCACCGGTCTGCGCGCAACGGCGGGCGGGAGGGGAGGGGGCTTTTGGAAGAGTTGCGCAACACAACGAATCGATGACGCAATTCGTTGCCAACGCTTTTAGTAATCGATTTTCATCGAATTTATCGATTCGTTGTTGCAGCCCTAGTGTAACAGCAGTTATGAAGCCCAGGATAGAGAGAAGGTTCTGCAAAAGACACTCCTCAGATAAACGACACGTTTCATTAATGGTGTGTGTGTTTTTGTTATGTATTGATTTTGTTGTACAGATGCATAATGGCCGGTATGACCCGCTTTAAAAACAAAGATTAACTCAGTTCTTTTAGCCAATCAGCAGCTCACGTTTCAGTGAAGCTTCCTGCTAACTCGAGGGACGGTAAACAAGAATCTGGATGATTTTGTACCATGATCATTCGGTCTCCTGGCAGAAGCCTTCCATTTCCTTTGGCTGGATCCTGTACAATGTCATGGATGTAACATCCCTGATCGTTGCCTTTGGTGAGGGTGAAACCAAGACTGCCTTTGTCTGACTTCACCAAAGAGACCCTCAGCTCCACTTCCTAAGAACAAACGAGAAATTCAAACAACTCTGGATCTATATTTAACCTTCATCACGTTACACCTCAGATGTCACCCTTCTTCTATTCCGAAGTCCTTACCGGGAGCAGTTCTTCCATTTCCTGTCTGTTGCCCGGCAATGTGAATTTTGAAGGCATCGGCAACGGAGGAGGGAGCGGATCTGGGCTTGGACCACAGACAGGTGGCATCACAGGCACAGGAGATGATTTCGGATCAGCTCCCACAGGTGTCGAAGTACTTCTATCAAAAACACCTAAGTTTACAAACCCACTCGTTATCACAAAAAGAAGAGCCAGAGCGCGGCTCACCTGTTCCTGAGGTCTGACCGCGTCACTGAGAGGTCGGGGGAATAAAAAGCTGACTGGAAGGTTCTGTCCAGATGACTGGTGCTGTTGTAGTTTCCCAGTCCCGGGTTGCTACGGGGAGTCTGATAAACACTCCTCTCCCAGTTGTCCCTGCTGTGCTCCAAAGCAGAGGCGCTGAAAGCTTTTCCTATCTCCTCATCAGAGCTATCGCTGTAGCTGTTGTGTCGGGTGGGGGACTTGAGCAGCAGCCTCTCCGTGTCCTCTTCCACTTCCTGCTTCAAGCTGGGCTCTGCCAGATTTAAAACCTCCTTCCTGGGTGATGGCTTTGGTGTCTGAGAAGGAATGATAGGTATCATTTAAAAAATGTGTAAAGAACCTTTGAAAATCACACGTTAGTGAAAAAAGTATAATTAGTGACTCACTACAGCTGAGGTATTCATCTCCTGTAGAACACCTTGCTCAGGTCTACAGAGGAGCAAAGTCACCTCCTGCCCCGTTCCACGCAAAGCTGAGATCACTTCCTGTAAACAATTCAAGAAACAACACACCAAACGTGTTAAGCAAGCAAATAATTAGAGCCTAACTTGACCACACTGAGACTTAAGAGTACGAACATGCTGCGAGAGTCCTTTGAGAGGGGTTTGGTTGACTCGTAGGATGACGTCGCCCACTTTGATACGACCGCTCTCTGCAGCTGGCTGGCCTGGGAACAGCTTCTTCACCCGTACCATGCTGGAGCCGGCAGGTTCGTCAGGAATGTGGTCCTCTCGGCTGAAACTGAAGCCGAGTCCTGATGTGTTCTTCAGCAGGCCCACCTCAAACACGTTATCTGTTGGGACAATGATGCGGTTCTGATGAAATGTGCAGATAAGCAGGAATTTATGCTCCAGTTCTGAGCAAACCAAATAATCAGCTAGTCATCTTCCAGAGAAAGAGAGATGGTTCCCGCTTCTCCATTTTCCTTGTAACTCATGTGGCATTACGAGAAATTTCCACTTGGCCGTACACTTTCTTCCAGACACAAATCAAATTATCAAATAAATCTCGTTACTGGGCCATTTCAATGCTCTGGTTAAACTATTACCGCAGTCTGGTGGTCTAATTAGTCACAGCATTGCACCAAAATTACAGCCTCATGGCTTCATGTCCGTGCCAGCCAGTTAAGTTACACTTCACGTCCACATCTGACTCGACTTTCACAGCTAAAGTAGTGAAGATATGTAGCAAGTCACCAATAAAGCTGATTGTAATAGAGTACAAATTACTTTCCACAAACTTAACAGGACAGAACCAGACTTTCTCTGAACAATTGTGGCAAATATGAGTGCATCTTTAGTTCAAACATTAGTACTGTCTCATTTAGATTATGCATCAGTTATCTGGTCTAATACAAGTGAAATGAATTTAAATAAGTTACAAGTGGCACAAAATAAAGCTGCACGAATTGTTCTGGGTTGTAATTATAGAACAAATGTTAGTATGATGCACGATAGGTTGGCCTGGTTAACAGTGAAATGTAGATTAAAATATTCACTGATCACATTTATAAGAAATATAATAACTACAAAAATACCTAAAATAATTCATGACAAATTATCATTTTTTTCAGACAATCATGATTACAAGACGAGACAGATAAGTGACATAAGGTGCGCACTACCGCGCTGCAGAACTAATCAAAGGCAAAGAGAAGTTTATTACAGAGCCATGGTTGCATGGAATGCCATACCGAGATTTTTGTTATTAGAGAACAATAGAAGATGTTTTCAAAAGAAGTTAAAGCTTTTTTTGTTTACACAACAGTAAATTTTGCACAGTGAATTGTAAATGTGACTGATATGACAGCTTCTATAATTTTTGTTTGTTATGGATGTGATGCGATATGATTTTTGATTCTTGAATATAGTTATTTATTGCTCTGTGTAAACTCTCCGTTTTCACCTATTTAGATTTTTCATGAACTCTGAAGTGTGTGGTAACTTATTGGTATATTATTATAGCAATTGAGGTGGTACGATTATAATGAGCTCCTGGAGTTTGTTGTTGTTGGGTGTGTGTGCGTGTGTGGGGATGGGGATGGGGGTGCTTTGTAAAATATTTGTAATGAAATTGAAAGAGACCTCAGGAAGAATAGCTCCACACTATGGTGTGAGCTAATGAGGTTCTCAATAAATAAATAAAAAATAAAATAAAAATCTCATTTCTAAGTTGTTTGTTTAACGAGGTCCAGTTCTGGGAAAGCGCAATCCATCCTGACCCGCTCTCGTGGAGCTAACAGGCTGTGCACATGAGCTTGTCAATTATCTATGACTTGTTACTTTGTTGATGGTGAGAAAAAGGGTCAAGATTACTGGAGTTTAAAAACCAATTTAATAAACAGTGCCCCTCATTTACCATTGAGTCTGTAGAAACATTTTATAATTAAACCCAAAAAATGTATTGAAACATGTTTATTAAAGGTGCAATATGAGATGATTATTACCAATACATTTAACGTTTTGCCAAAAAATTCTGGTCTTGTTGGAAAACCTTTGGGTAACGGACTTGTCTGTGAACGCAGCCTATTCTCTGTCAACTGGTAGAGCAACATGCACTTACGTGTGTGTGTGTGTGTGTGTGTGTGTGTGTGTGTGTAGACTTATGGAACTTTCCAACAGCTCTGCTCAGAGCAACTCAATTTGATTTGATCAGGTTGGATCAATCAAATCAAACTTTAATTATGTAGCACTTTTCATGCATAGGATGCAACACAAAGTGCTTAACAGATTAAAATGACCCATATAATGTTTATATATTTAGCAGATGCTTTTGTCCAAAGCGACTTACAAGTGATAATCGGCATGCTGCCCTTGAGGCTAACAACAACAAAATAAAAAATCAAAAAATCAAAATCACTTTTATTGTCACGTCACATGTGCAGGTACACTGGTACAGTTGCTAGTTAAGAAGATGCTCTCTGAAGAGCAGGGTCTTCAGGAGTTTCTTGAAAATTGAAAAGGAAGCCGCAGTTCTGGTGGTGTTAGGAAGGTCATTCCACATTTGTGGAACAATGCATGAGAAGAGTCTGGTTTGTCCTGAGCGTGGTGTAGGCACTGCTAGCCGACGATCCTGTGATGACCGGAGCGGCCGGGCCGAGACGTAAGCCTTTGCAAGAGGATTCAGGTAGATGGGAGCCGTACCATCTAACCCACATTCCCTTCCTTTCCCACACTTAAAACAATTGTGACAGTTTCACCCCAATCCACAAACCATTCCCAGGCGCGCACACACACACACACACACACACACACACACACACACACACACACACACACACACACACACACACACACACACACACACACACACACACACACACACACACACACACACACACACACACACACAAAGACCACAGTAAACACTAGGCTGAGCTCAGATTGGACAGGTAATGAAAGACACGCCATCAAGGGAGCCATCTGCCTCAACAGCAGCAGATCGACGGCAGCAGCCAAGACACCAATCCAGGGCGCCCTGGGAGGGAGGGTGGCAACCCCCCACCACTACCTGGGCACTACCCTAGGAGTGCCCCAGCTGCCGCCATCGACCACCGGTCCCGAGGCAGAGGGCTCCACAGAGGAAACACTGGAAGGAACAAAATACGTGACATGTAAAATAACACGAGCTACTATGGAAAATATGTAAAACGTATGATGTAAAATATCCAATAAGATGTGATTATACAAATAAAAACATGAATGTGTAACACAACAGTAATTAACCCTTTGGTGCATAATGGTCACTACAGTGGACAGGTACTCAAAATTGTTATTTATTTGTTTTTGCTATTAAGCACAGCTGTTGAAGACTTTATTGTATTTGAGCCCCTCCATTTGGACTTCAGTAAGTCAAGCCAACATATTTCATGTTCAGAATGCACGTGGTCCACTAAGGTGGACCTGTAATAAATTATTTGTAAATTATAAAATTTTACAAAAAATATTTGTTGAAATTTGTTTCATTCACACCTAAAGATGAATGAAAAAAATTGTTAAAAAAATCATGGCTGAAGATTTCATAATTCATGCATCAAAGGGTTAAAAATAAATAGGTAAAACAAGCAATGCAATAAATAGTAATCAGTTAAAAGCTAAACTAAAAAGGTGGGCCAGTCACTGGCTGCTCCAGAGCTTTCTGCCAGCTGCCTGACAAAAACCTCAAGACTGAACAGAATGTTCAGCATCACTGCCCTGCCTGCCATTGTTGTGTTTTTGTGTGACAAAAATCACTTTGTGCTTGTGGGTGCCCCCTCCCCGTCTATCACTAGTGCACCCACTAGAGTCCTTTCTCAGTTCAGGCAAGTGGAGTCGTGTTCAGTAATAAAAGGGACCAGAGCGAGTCTGAAGACATTCAGGTCAAGCTCTGGAAGTTTTGATCTGTTGCTCGTGGGGTTCTCTCAGATTGTTGGTGGCACTGAGCTGCTGTACTACCTCTTTTCACCCCAAAACACCACACGATACTGGCTAGCACACTAAACCTTTATTCTGTTACGTAGATGTTATGTTAGGAATTATGGCAGAAAAGATGCCAATGTAAAAGTGAACCCTCAGGAACAAACACTGCATGTTCCTGTATTCTGGAGGTGCAGCTTAAAGGGGCATTATGGAAGTTTGACAGCCAAAACATGTATAGAAATAATAAATGTCTTTTTCATACATTCTCCTGCAATGCCCTGGTCCTGTAGAATGAGCCCTGGCATTTTTACTGTGATTGCCTGTTTTTCTGCTAAATCACAGAAAAAGAGAGTTGAGCTGAGCTGCTCGGGTCGAGCATGCTGCTTCATGCGCGTTCACGCTCAGGCATCGCCCGTAGCATTTGCTATCCGTAGCTTTAGCAGCAGAGAGAGAGATAGTGCCAACTCAGCGACTTTGTCGCTGTTCCTAACGCCTAGTGATGAACCTAGCTACATTTCCGAGGACCCTTAGCCACTTTCTTCTAGTTATTTCCTGCAAATTAGCAACAAAATAGCCATTTTCGCTCCGAACCGTTCTTTGAACGTTGTTTTAGCTGTCATCAAGGATATAAATATTACAGATACCAAAAACATCAGTGGTGGTTTAGCTCATCTAGTTAGACGTTGGACTCTTGTGCAGGAAACCCGGGTTCGATTCTGGGTGAGAACACAGTTTATTTAGAGTTTCTTTTTTACATTAATGGTATATTTTTTTTACAGTAAGATGCCCAAATTTTTATTTGGGACTCGCCGAACAGCATTGAATTCACAGATAAAAAAAATGTGAGTTCAACTTTCATTTTGGAACAATTTTTCAAGCAAGGGAAGGGAATTATCCGAGCATGCAGGAGGACTGACCCATCATAAACCCTTGTTGGCTGTGCTGAAGAGAAAAGGTACAGAACCAAATTATTTAATTAATTAGCTGTATGTTCTCCTGCCCTCTGTCCTCCGGGCCACACCCACCCACACACACACACACACACACACGGGATTGTCAGCTCTCAGAGCTCTGTGAAGGTGACCCCCGTCAGCTTCACAGAGCTTGGTCTCAGCTGTTATTTTTGTTAAGGAGTGTGCACGTACAGCATGCGCGCCTCGTGCACGAGCCTACTATTGAAGCTGCCGTTACGCTTTTGGCCTGAGGGGGCAATCGCGAGCATAAAAATTCAAACTCCGTAAAGTCCCTTTAAGGATTGAACCACAGAACTGATTTTTGAATCTTTTCTCAAAAAGTAGCCCTCCAAATGTTCTAATTACATTCTGACTCAGAATCCCCGTTGTTTCCTCACCTTCTGTGACGAAGCTGTAATCTGTTTTTTTGTTTGGCTCCGGGTGCGGCACCTTGCCCTTGGCTTGTTCGTTGTCACTGCTGACAAGGATCGCAGAGACCTGAGGGGTGAGGGGAGCGTGAGTGCCACCTGCAGGTGGAGGAGCCCTCTCGAGCAGCAGGTGCACCTTCTGCAGCACACAAAACAAGATTAGACAATGTTAGAGGCCATCTGGGCAGCTGCTGAATGATGTGTCATCATTATAAAAGGCATTACTCACCTGCCCTGTCTCTCTGAGGATATCTACCGCCTGCTGATGACTGGCTCCCTCTAGACTTATTCTGTTGACGGCCATCAAGCGATCGCCTGAACGTACAACAGACAGAAAATTCCTTTGTTTTTACAGTTTAGTCTTTAGTTGTAATGTTTGTGTGGACAGTGGTTAATACCTTTCTGTATCCGTCCATCGAGCTCAGCAGCACCTTTGGGTATGATGCCTTTGACGTAGACGCCTCCATGTCGAACAGTTGTGTTGGCTCCACCCTAAGAGGGATGAGACTACTCTTAGTCTCTATAAGAAACGTGTATTTATTGTTTCTGGGGGTCGATGGCAGATGTGGAGGGTTTTGACCTTCTAAGGGTGATGCGTGGTACATTATGATCAGTATACCAAAATAGAAATTCTGCAAGCATTAAATGTTTTTTTTTTTACTTAAAAGCTGCGGATTTTGCTGATCTTTGCTTAGATGATGTTTTTAAGAGTTGTGCAAAACAATTAGCATCAGCATAAATCTTGTATTGATCTTTTTAATTTTCTGGTTTTCCCTTTTAGAGTAAAGAAAAACTGATATTATATGAAAATTGTTATTTTCTTTACTTAATCCTAAAGCAAAAATTTAAAAAACTAAGAATTTCTTACATCTTAAATACAAAGAAACCTCGGATGTGACATAATCTCCCTAGTGAGGATGAATAACACTGAGGTGATACTTCATTTCAATCTCTCTAGTTATTAACAACTTATTGTACTTTATTAACAAATTTATTATTATCACAAATGAGTCCAGCCAAGACATTTATCTGACAGCTGAGTCAAGGTACAACCAAGTTATTGTTATCTGAGTGTTATTTATACCAATCAATGTTTCAAATCCATGAAAGCTGTTAGCTTAACTGCACTCCAGTAAACCACTCATTACCAGCAAGAAGGAACAGCAGGCAGCCATTAGAAAACACATAAAATAATCATTTTAAGTGTTTTAGTCATTTTAGTCATTACTGAACCAAAGATCGGGTGCTTTGTTTTTCATTATTTTTATGAAAACAAACAAACAAAAAAACAGCAGACATGCAAACTGAGTTACATTACCAGACTAGTGCTGAGAGAGCAAACCAAACATGAAGTGAACACAAGAGCACGAGATGAGCAGGAAAGGGGGAAAATCAAAGAGAAAGTGAAAACCTTCTCGAACAGTACCGTGACTTTTATGCCCAGGCTGCCGTCTACTTTGGACAGCTGAATGTCAAATAGTTCTCCTTGAGGGAGACTAGTGACCCCTGGGGCACTACCATTTAAAATTTCCGTGTTGTTTTCCTGCAAACAGAGAACAGGGCATCCAGATGAATTATTACAAGCGCAAACATGCAGAAAGAAAAAGTGAGGAAGATGAATTTTTGTGACAATGTGAAGTTAAAGTGAGCGAATATTGTGACACATACATGCTGTGTGTGTGTGTGTGTGTGTGTGTGTGTGTGTGTGTGTGTGTGTGTGTGTGTGTGTGTGAAATCGTAATGACAGGTTGAAGGTTAATAATGAGCAGTTAGTTGTGCCAAACATCTAGATGCTTGTTCATGGAAGAATCATCTGGTTCACAGGGATAAAAACAAGCCTTCGTGTATTTTTGGTCATGGATCTCCAGGGCAGATGACACCATCTATAAACAATGAATCTATTCACACCAATGAACTCACAACCACGAAGACCGCACCTTTTTGACCTTCGGTTTGTCTTGACTACTGGAATAATTCTCCTCATCCATGTCTGTGTCCCCTCTGTCCGACTGCTCAGAAACTTTAGGAAATTCCAAGAGTTTAACTTTTCTAGTTTTGGGAGGCAGAGCGGGAGGTGTGGGACCACCAGGCTTCATGCTCGTGTCTCCATCAGGACTACAAAGTTCAGCTGTGGAAGCAGTGGTGGCTCGTTGCAAGCACTTCTGAATTCGTTCTAAAGGAGAGTGGCTGACTTTAGCAGCACTGCTCATCCCGGAGTCCTGAGAAGTGAGGCTGGACTGCTGGTGAACTGAAGCTGAGACAGATGATGGTGTGCCTGTGCTGCGAAGAGGAAGGATAGGACTTCCGGTTTCCTGTTGTTCCTCCGATGAGGTATCAACGTCCAGTTCTTGTCTCTGTGCAGAGTTTGGTTTCTTAAATGAGGACTGGGGTTGGCGAGGAATACATTTTGGGGAAGACGCTGTCAAACAGAAACAGGGAGGTGATTAAACCACATGTATAAAAACACTAACGATAAAAACATTCATACTCCTACTTTTACCTGTATAAAGCCTCTCTTTTGGTTGTGACACTACCAGAGTAACATCATCAGGAGCATTTTGAAGAATATCAACCGTGGCGGCATGAGAAAGTCCTTCCACATTTAAATCATTCACAGATATCAGCCGGTCACCTAAATGCCATATATAACCACGGTTACATGCATGGCAAACTAACCAGATGGAAATCTAAAAGAAGGTTATTCTCCAGCCATCACCTCGGCAGATAACAAAAACATTTAAACATCTACTGCTGCAGGGTGTAAAGGGTCATAAGAGACCAGCCTACCAGGTTTCAGGAAGCCATCACAATCAGCAGGACCTCCGGGAGTGATGGAGCTTATGATTGTCCCTCGATCCGTGCGACCAGAGTTCTCTGCTCCAACAACCTGGAACCCTACGACACACACACACGCACACGCAAACCCCAGTGAGTCACAAAGGATGGCTGTTTATACTAATCCAGAGTCTGTTGGAGGTTTCTTCCTGTTAAAGGGAGTTTTCCTCTCCACTGTCGCTACATGCTTGCCTAGTACGAGGATTGGTGTAAAGTCTCTGACGCAACAAGTCAGTGATGCAATTCTTCAGGAAATTTTTAACTAACTAACTAATAAAGAACTGAACTCATTTGCAATGTTTCATTTGTGAAATGAACTGAACGCACAGTTAACTTTACTCACGAACACAGATATAAACCGTTATTTTAGTAATCCTGCACTACTCATTTTCATTTTGAGGAACTGTATAATTGTTAAAAGCGTATTTATTTCCAACTCAAAATAAAATCTTATTTCAACCATTAGTGTAGAAATCAGTGCTCACCTAGTCCATACTTCACATTTTTCTTCAGGTTCACGGTTGTGACTGCTCTCTCTGGTGACGGTAACACACTCAGCTTTTTCTTTAAAGAGTCTGCACAACAACAGCAAACATAACATACTTTATGTAGAACAAATTCGTTTCCTCTGTGGTTTCTGACTTACTCCTGATACTGAACAGCATTCAAACAGCACCAAGCGGCTGAAGGCCTTCCCTCTTAGCACATCTGAAACATGAGTCTGAACAGAGAAGCTGAACTTGGCTGAAAGAAAAAGTGTTTGGTACCCACAACTAAACTATTAAATGGTTGGACTGTGGCCAACGTTGAGACCCACAAACTCACAGCACAAAGGGGAAAAAAAGACTCAATTCTGCTTGATCTAATTCTGATTTACAGACAGTGGCGGAGCTTGATATGTGCAACATGTGCGGCCGAACAGGGCGGCAGTCTGCAGGGGGCGGCATTTAATTTCCTTTTTTTTTTTTCCTAAAAAAATTTTTTTTAGCATCAACCAATACATAAACAAAACATAGAAATCGCATGTTCTTAATAATAATAGTGATGATAATAATATTTCTGTAATAAAAGCACAACAAAGTGTAACCCATATCAACTACTCCCTGTCACATGACCCACGTCAGCTGATGTGAGGTCCCTCTCCTGATTGGCTCCTTCCAAGTTGCGGCAACCATGAAAGCTGCTCCTGCCGTAAGCTTGTTGCTTGTAGAACGGTGTTGGAAAACAAAGCGTTTTTTCCCCCTCAATTCATTTATACTCTCATTTTACCTCAGCGGTAAGTGTTCTTAACATCTACCAATAACACCCTTTTACTTGTCAGTGACCAGTCGATCGTTTTCGCTATAAAAAAATGACCTTGTTCGGCGGAGTTCCCACCGCGAGCAGAACTCCGGTTCGAAAACGCTGTTTTTGAAACACTTTTATTTACTTATGCACTTTAATGGGCTTAACTTGAAACCAAGAGCAATCGAATGATTATTGTTATGTGTTGCCTTGAATTCGGCTATGCTGTCTGTCAGACAGTTGTTTTCCTTTATTGTTGTTTTTGTATTTGTTTGTAGCAAACGCTACTGGAATGCACAGATTGAGCTACATAGCCAAGATGATTAATAATTGACCTGTTGTACATTCGTGATATGTTTACCGGTAAACTGAATCAAACTTGATGTGCTAATGAACATTTCTCTGGCCTACAGGTCAGGTTTTTTTTTCCCCATGTTGAACTGATCTTCTTCATATTGAAGTGGCAAGCTGGTAGGACCATTCTTTCTTCTTGGAATCGGGAAATTAGCTATTATTTACCCCATGAAAAACGGAGGGGCAGCGGGCCGCTGGAGGTGCCCTGCTAGTATGATCCCGTTTAAACTGTAAACTGCCATAAAATAAAAACTATAATAGCTAGAGCGGTCTTTTTTTAGCTGAAAGTTGAGACTCTCGCCTTTCAGCACATCTGTACTGTACAAGTCGATGATGCCGACATGTTGCGTTAAGTGTGTCTATTTCAGTAGAACTTTGACAAGTGGTGAGAAGGTGGCCAGGAGCTGGATGTTGTATTCAGTTAGCAAACGTTGTTATATATACACTCCACACAATCTGAAACAAAGTTGTAGGTGTACTGTATTTTCGTGTGTGTGTGTGTGTGGGGGGGGGGGGGGGTCACAGGGGTATCTCGCACAGGGCGCCATTTAGGCCAGCTCCGCCTCTGTTTACAGACATGCATTTTTTCCCACCAAACAGACATTATGGTGCACACAAATGTGTGTAGTTACTTACGTACCATTAACAGAAGCTGGAGTTGAAGGTGTTCCAGAGGAACTGTGCATACTGACACCTGGGAACACAACACAAGCAATCAGGGAGGCCACAACAGATCCTCTCCACCTTTTTCATTTCATTAATAATGAAATTAAACTTTGAACAATTCCTCTTTCAGCAATTACTAACGCCGGGGACACACCGGCCGCGGAAGCGCCGCGAAAATGGGGCCGCCTTCATTCGGCGCCCTTGTTGAGCTATTCTATAGACCACATGGGCCGCCGAAGCGCCGCGAATCGCCGCGCGCCGGCGCCCCAGCCTGCGCCGTGCAGCGATCATTTCGGCGTCGGCTCTATTTTTTTCGCGAGCCGCGGGTGAATCGCGTCAATTCTGGCAGGAAGTCAAACCTAGACATAAGAGGCAGGCCGGTAAAGTTAACAAAATAAAGCATTTCAAAATAAAATTCCGCAATAGTCAAATGTGTTCGTAATCAGACACTGCAGAAAAACCACACGAACACACACACATCGAACTTGTGTGCGTGTGTGACCACGTGAAGGGGGTGTGGTTTTGGGTGTCTTTTCACCAGAGCAAACAGGACAGAGAGGCAGAAAGTCTGAGGCAAGCAGTTAAGATGGATGACTTTAAATTAATTATGGAAGTTGAGAAACACAAGGAGCAGTACGACCCCCGAAAAACGTGGTTATTTACGTACCCATTTCAGAAGAAACCGCTGGGATACAGCTGCAGAATTGGAGCGGGTTCCAAGAGATTCAACTGGCAGAAACAACTCATACCATAGGTTCACACACACACACACGCGCACACACACACACACGCGCGCGCGCACACACGTAGAGGAAAAGAGCTGAGAAAAGGCAGAGAGGAAATTGAGGACACCAAGTGTTTTAAAAGAAAATCCAGCTGAGCCGAGGCGCGCCTCGACTGGGGCGCGTCTGATCTGAACTGAGGAGCGGCGAGCAGCGGCCGAATTTCGTGAGCGATTCGCTTCTCGGCGCTTCGCGGCGCTTCCGCGGCCGGTGTGTCCCCGGCGTAACACTCTGTTCAGTAAGCAGAAAAAAAAACCTATGCAGAAACCAAAGGGAAGTATATTTGCAAGTAAAATGAACAGAGTTGAGTTTTCTTTGTGTTTTTCAAACAATAAGGACTAAAACAGAAGCTACATACAGAAACAGGGATGAATACTGCCAGAGATATGGCAACACGTCTAACTACTTAGCTGTCTTAATGACAGCAGACGTAACATCTGTAGGTGATGATGGACATCTGGGTGTTGAGAAAGCAACGGATTAAGCCTGGTTCATGCTTCTACCGTCAGGTCAGCAAGGGACAGACACGCATGGATTGACGGAAGCGTTTTGCTTTCATACTTCTCCATCTCCTGGAGAGTGTTGCAAAGCAATTGCCCGGCAGGACAACAGAGGGCGTAGCGCTGTTGTGTGGTATCCTGTCATGTATCGGTCCAAGACCGTGTGTTTATATTGTGTTTCTTTTATATAAGAGACTTTTAACATGGTCATATTTGTCTCTCATTCTCCTCCACTTCATGCGCTTGCCACCTCTAAAGACACGTTTCCTGTCATTTCTGTCCACAAATAAAACGTTTGCTGCGCATCTTTTCACTCCTCCAGTCACGGGAGAATTAAACGTTCATGTTTTTAGAGTTTTTTCGCAAGGTATTCTTCAAGCTGCTCCGTGTCTGCCTCTAGTTATCCTCGGCTCTCTATGTTTTTGAGGGCGTAATGGCGGAGCTGTAAACAGCGGCGTCCTGACCAATCACAAGCTTGCGTAATCCGTCTCGTTCGACGGATGTTTAAAAAAGTGGGCTCGACTCCGTACGTACTTGCGTGCCTGCCGGAGCCCTACGCAAGGACGGATAATGGTGTTGCGTGTCTCCGCACTGACGCAGACGGAGAAGCATAAATGAGCCTCCAAACTGGGTGAACACAGTCAGGAAGAGGCCTATGATTTTACTGACATGGAAAAAAAATTCTGACTTAAGAGTTTTATTCAAGTTTCATGTAAACAATCTTAAGTCATGTAAAAACATTACAGCAATGTAGTGGTAGGAAAACACGTTTGATGTATAATGTTAATGCTCTTTTCCATTAATACAATGTTCTTTACCAACAACATATGCTTGGCCCATATCCTCTGTGGACGAAGAGTCGGATTCTTTCTGAGACTTGCTCAGGCGCCAGGCTGGGTTGTTGTTGTTGTTGATTATTGCACTGAGTGATCTGAGAAGGTAAGAACATAAGATCAGCCTCAAAGAGACAAAACTAAACAGAAAATAAAACATACTAAAGACCAAAAGGGCTCATTTCTCTGAGTTTTTAGGCTCTACTCATGTACACAGATTCCCAACTTAAAAATAACACATGATGTAAAAAAAATAGCAGCAGAGTAGGAGGCACCATCATGTGATAAAGACAGAAGGGAGCATTTGCAGCCTCACGGAGACCCGCAGAGGATCAATTAGGAGATGAAGGGTGCGTTCTATGTCTCTGTAGAGCAATCAGCAATAACAAATCCTCACAAATAGCTCACACACAAACACATTCCTTTGAGAAAAATCCTGAATGAACAGAAAATTTTTACTTTGTTACAAATCACTTGTTTTTTTTACTGTGTTTTTTCTGGCTGTGAAGCAATCAGAATTGATGTGTGAATGTCAAAGGCAAGCCTTGCAGTCTTACTCTCATCAATGCCACTCCTGATACAAAAACTTCATTAGAAATACTTTTGGTTGTTTAAAATCCAAACGGACATGGAGACAGAAGTGTGTATGTATATGTAAGGTTTCTCTATAGGAGTGTCTTAACACAGAGTGTGAGGGGCCACAGACCTGACCCCAAAGACATGTGGAAGATGGAGGAGTTTCAAGCCCCAGAGATCCATGGGTCTCCCCGGAGTGCAGGAATTACCCCGGGGGGCAGAGGATTACCCCGGGGGCCTCAGCCAGAAACCGCCAGAGCCACGGGAGATAACAACGGCAAGCCCCCAGGACCGCCAGCAGCCACCCACCCCTGACTTGGCCAAGCTCAGAACACAGCAGTTACACACCACCTCTGACCCCAACCAGACGACCATCTTCCATTCCTAGCCTCAAGACCCGGGCAGCTTACTGAGAACAGAAGTGTGATAAGACCCCTATCTCCCTCCGCCTGCTCTACTTTGGTGTTGATGCGTATTGTATAATGCAATCTGTGGTTGGGGGAGGGCAGTGCAGGCATCAGCTGGCCTACACTAGCTGACGCCACCACACAACCCCACTCACCCCAAGAACCCTAAGTGTCTAGGTGCAGCTTAAAACTGGAAGTGGGCACCGGCACTCAGGGTGAGGCTGGGATCCCCCCGCCACGCCAGGTGCCATTAAGTGTGCTCACTTTCAAGGCTCTACGAATACACATTTTAAAATGTGCTACTTCTCATATTGTACCTGTCCTGTTGGGGTGCCAGGGAGTCTGTGTCTGAACTGGCACGCTGATGCTGCTGAAAATGGGATACAACTTGGTTGGACATCCTGATGTCCGACTCCTCCATTGGGTGCTCTGCAGTCTCCGGCAGCAGAGCCAGGTTATGGTGGGAACGACTCAACAGCCGAGGATTGGAAAAGGTCGTGGATGCTGTAGGATGGAAACCTGGAAGGTGGAGCTCATCATGAACTATAACCGAGCCTGAAGGTGCCTTATTTAGAGCCGCCTCAGAGTAAGAGATCCTCTTCAGGTGGTCTGGGTTGGAACGTGTAGACAACCTAGGAGCCAGGTTGCCCAGGGTCACATTCCTGGAAAGTGCATCTACACCCAGAGGGTTGAGGGAATACTGGATGCTGTTTAGTGGGTTGTTTGCTGTGAGAAGGAAAACAAGTAAATGACAAAACAAGTTGGTATGCTACATTTGTTGACAGTTAGCAATTAGAGCGAAATCAACAACTATAGAAAAAAGTCTCAAAATTCTAACATTAAAGGTGGCGTTAGGGTTCACTTGCAGTGGTTTCTAGTAAGAATACATGCCTTGCAAGTCATACTCAGGTGTGTAAGACAACTACGATGTGACTTTGTTCTTTGGAGGTGATTTATGGTAGAAAATGTTCTATCGTACAGTACAGGCCAAAAGTATGAACACACATTCTCATTGAATGTGTTTTCTTTATTTTCATGACCATGGCCATTTACAAAGGGACCAACAAGTGCTAAACACCTCTGGGAACTCCTTCAAGACTGTTGGAAAACCATTTCAGGTGACTGCCTCTTGAAGCTCATCGAGAGAATGCCAAGTGTGCGCAAAGCGGTAGTCAGAGCAAAGCGTGGCTATTTTGAAGAAAAAGGAATATAAAACACGTTTTCAGGTATTTCACCTTTTTTGGTTAAGAACATAACTCCACATGTGTCCATTCATAATTTTGATGCCTTCAGTGAGAATCTCCCAATGTAAATAGTCATGAAAATAAAGAAAATACATTGAATGAGAAGGTGTGTCCAAACTTTAGGCCTGTACTGAATATTTCACCCTCCCTTCAGGTAGAACAGGAAAGGATGTTTGGCATTACAAGTGCACACTACAAGTATGTGACCAGCATTTAAGGTTGAGCTAGGAAATGGTCTATCAATAAAGGTGTTGAACATTCATTTAATCAATTCATTTACAGTGGTAGTAGGAATGAATGCCTTCCTTATAGATCATACTGGGTGCTCAGATGCGCTTGTTTCAGGAACTAGCAGATTTGCAGTCTCGTTTCCTGATATTTGGACATCTCACATCAGATTGGATAACGGCAACACGACTCTACCACTGACTTTGTTTGTTCTTCAATGCTGATGTTTTATCTCCACAATTAACACAAGCCTTGAGGAGTTCTGCTGTGTGGCAGAGTTGCTAATGCTAATAGTTAGCTTCTACTAGTTGAGATGTTCTCTGCAGTTTCCTGGACGTTAAAACAACAACAGCCTTCCTCGTTGTGAGCCAAGAAGGGTGAGTCCATGAATGTCAAGTGACGGTGTGAAGTAGACTTTTGTAATCCTAGAGTTTAGTGATGTGACGTTCACGAACGAATCAAATCTTTTGAACGGGTTTCAAAGTGAATGATGAGAGCCGAGTCCCTGCAGAGAGCCGTTCATCTTAACAAACCTTCCCGGAAGTGGGTCAAACTCACCCGCTCAAACCCCACCCACTGCAGTGATGGACGTAGGAGGAACCATTGATATGTATAGAAATGGGAGGAACGCTAGCCAACCCCGTGCGCCCTCACGGACATGTAAATGGTAAACCACCGACTGATGAACGGCTCCCATGAAAGAGCCATAAATCCCATCACTACTAGAGTTTCACCATCTGTATTCAATCAGACACTAATGCAGGAGACTAGTGTAGGAGCCTATTTTCATGTTCAACCTGCTTGAAACTCAGAGAGACCAATTTTGATTGGAAATAATAATTAAAAATGTTTTTCTGTGTTCCACACCTTTTAAAGCCGAGTTACCGATGTCTACGTGGGGGTGTGCTGTACCTAAATCCTGCTGCTCTTGGTTGTTCTGGCGTGCCTTCGTCTGCAGGTGGAACTTGTGCTGATCGGAACACATCTGTAGCAGATACTGGCACGTCCTGTTGCTGTCCGTCTGAAAAAGGTGCTTAATCTCATCTGATGTGTTCTGGAGGCAAATTTTCTTTTTCTTTAAAAAGAAAACAATTAAAAATCAGGACCATAAGTTAAAGAAGGAGTTCAAATATAAAGAACAAAATCAACAACTGTGCAGCTTTTAAATTTCTAAATAAGAAAGGGTAAAAAGGGCATACTGCAAAGGAAATTTTCTTGGTTTCCCTCCATGGGAAACTCAGCGCTGGGTTACGGTTTCCATTAAGGACTTCAAAAATAAGCACCCCTTTGGAGTAGATACCCAACATGATGCCCGTCTGAGATCGTTTCTCTGGAAGAACTCGATGGAAATGGACTCCGTACTCGGTCAATTTCTGGCTGGCCTTTAAAAAATAAAAAAACAAACTCGTTTATAAATGTTCACAACAGGCAGAGAGTAGATTTATGTGGAGTTGAAAAGCTTCATTCAGAAAGCAGGCCTCAAGACTCACATTGGTCAATAAAACAACAGATTTTAACGTCAAATATAAATAGCAACATTTTGTTCATTTGAAGGAATGCAAAAAATGCATTAGCCAAAAGCACAGGGCTATTTGCCGACCTTCAAATATATGTCCTTAACTTTTAAAGAAAATGTAAGACTCAGACAACACTGATGCCTTCCGTTTCCCCTCGAGGTCTGTGCGTATTCCTCCTCAGTCCAAAGCTGCTGGGCTACAAACTTTTACTAATCCCTCAGATAGACAGATTGATACGCTCTGGCAGCCTTTTATTAAAGTACTAACTGTAAGATCTGTCTGTTACTGAAATAACTGAAGCTAAATCTTTGAAAAGTGCCACCAGAATAGCACAGCAAGAGTGGGATGAAGCAAAAGAAAAGAAATCAGAAGTTAACAGAAGGTAAACAACAGGTAACATTTAGTGACTTGAGTCAAAACTGTAATTATTCATTAAAATAAATAAACACAGTGGTTTTAGGGCAGGAAAACATATATATTTATGTGATGGAAATTAGGGATGCACCAATGCCGATGCCACCGTCTGGTACTGAACCGATACCATGTGTGATTCCTCATACTCATAACTCAGTAAGGTCTAAGCCAGTAAGCAGCAGGAATTCACAAAAAAATGAATGCAAGTTACATAAAAAGAAGAGTAAGAAGCCGTTGCTGCCATACAGTACCGGGCTGAACAAAGAATTTAACAGCAGCATGCCTTTAAGCAGCTGGGTAGCAGAGGAGGAGCTATAGCAGTGATTTAGACACATTTCTAGAAGAACGAAGGTGACAAAAACAAGGCTGACTACAAACTATGTTCACAATAAAATTTCAACTGCTTAGCCAGTTTTATGCTTGTACAGGTTAATGATGCAGGTAACGTTTTCCCAAGTAAAAAGGTACGGTAACACTTTACAATACGGGTCCCTTTGTTAACATTAGTGCCAGTGCATCACACACACACACACACACACACACACACACACACACACATATACATATATATATATATATATATATATATATATATATATATATATATATATATATAATTGTTATCTTCTTGTGTATTGGTGCGCTGCATCGCTCACATGGAGTTTCAAGCTCACATGTAAAACATACCAGCAGCCAGCAACACAAATGTAAACAACAACATAGAGAGATGTTTGTTTTCCAGCTGAAAATAGTCACAATTATGAGTTTGTGTCAGCTAAAGATGACAGTTTTAAGGTTTACTGTTACTGATGACAAAGTGTTATCGAGGTTCAAAAACACTACCAGAAAAAAGTATTTTGTTTTCCAGAAGTTCATTCTAAAATGTCAGTAGACACACCGTTGACGTTAAAGTCAAAACCAGTAAAAGGTCTCAGTAAAAAGACTAAATGTAACATTGTGTTAAACCAAGAGCGGTTCTACAGCAGAAAAATACAACAAGAGGGTAGTTATTTACTAGTAAAACACACTTAAATTATTTTTAAAGTGTTTAATGAAAAAAAACTTCAATTTAAGTTGTGTAATGACACTTATTAGTACTTATATTGGTACTCGGTATTAGCAAATACTTATTCTCTTTTTAAAATCTATATGTTATCAGTGCATCCCTGTGGCATAACACAATTTGTCTTTGCTGTGCTGTTAAAAATAAATGCAAACCAGCTACAGCCTTCAAAAATTCTAATAAATGTTGTTCTTTTCCTGCTATAGATGTTTTAGTACAAACACAATAATTGCATCCATCTGTATAAGATGTTGATTTCTATGAACGTTTACTGCTAACCTTCAGAAACTCAAACTCTGCTTCAGCGTCTGATGCACCATAGAAGTTACTGTGGAGCTTTGGCAGTTCTTCCCTCAGCGTCATCTGGTCCACCTTATCCAAGACAGACGCTGGCAGGTAATGCTCCAGTCTAAAATAGGTCTTCCCATGGCACTGCAGCAAAGAACAGAATAATCACAAATATGTGGCAAGTCAAGATCATCAGAACTTCCAGCTATTGTTACTGATGAGGCACAGGGAGGAGTCAGTACCTCAGGCTGGTAGTCACCAAATTCAGCCTGCAGTGCCAGTGAAGCCAGAAGCAAGGCATGGTCTGTGTTGCAGCGTATTCTTTCCTCCAAGATATCCCTCCTCAGCTGTAGGTAGTACTGATGTTTGGTCATAGCATGCCTGTTTTCCACAACAAATCAACCTTTGGTTCAACTTTATGTAACATGAACTATAAGGCTTCAGTGTTCTGTTACTGTTGCACAAATATGCCATTTAAATATCTGACTAATGGCTAAAATTTACACTCACTGGATAAGGTTGATGTCATCAAGGAAGAATTTTATGCGCAAGAAGAGAGTAAAAGGCACATCAGTTCTTTTTTTCTTGGGATCCTCCTTCCATCCATCCGGGGCTACTTTGGCAAGTTTGGCATCAGAATCCATGAAGAAATATTCATTATCTGTCCAAAAACCAAAGAAAGGGCATAAAGTTGTGATCAAGATGAAGTGGAAATGTTAAGGTTTTCGTCTCAACTTATCTAGCACAGGTTTTTCATATTTGAGAACAAAGATTTAAGGATCCACCTCAGATGAGATAATAATAAACATTATGATCATTGTTACGGTTGCCAGTCTGGCCAGGGAAGAGCAGGAGCCAGGATCACCCAGCTCTGGTGAATCAGCCTGACACCGCCCCTTATTCTCCTCTCTCCCAGGCTGCTGAGGAGCACAGCTGAGCTGAATCTCCCTGATCACCAACACCTGTATAAAAAGGCTGTGCCTTCAGCAGTCTGAGAGGCAGCAGTGCAGGGGTTCTGCTGTCCTCCAGGTTTTGTGTAATTTCAACCCCTTTTCGTTTGGATTTGTTGAGTTTTAAACTTTGGGTTGGTTTTTAACTCTTAGTAGAAGTTTTGGGATGATCCAGTGGGATCTTTTGTGTGTTTGGGTTTTAAGGTTAACTTTGAGACAATTTTACTGACCTCGGTTTTAAACACCTTCCGTTGTGGTAAAGCTTTTAAAATAAGTTTTTACCAGGTGTTTTAGTAAGTAGAATGTTTTAAGCCTTTTACCAACTTCAGGATTTTAAAACACCTTCGTTGCGGTAAAACTTTTAATATAAGTTTTTACCAGGTGTTTTATAGTTGATAATTTGCTTTGTAATGTTAACCTTTAAAAGAAATCTGTTTGCTTGTGTTTTTAATACCTTTTTGTACAAATAAACCCATTTTAAACTCCTCCACCAGTTCGTATGTTGCCCCCTTCCTTCACATTTTTACCAACACATGTCGGGGATGTAACAGTGGGTACAGAAAGTAGTCAGACCTCTGTGAATTTTTCACTGTTATACTGCAGCCATTTTGCTAAAATCAATCAATTTCAATTTTTCCTCATTAATGCACACACAGCACCCCATATTGACAGTTAAACACAGAACTCGACACCCTGCTTTCCTCCATTCCTGAGCACAACTGTCCCACAATGGTCCTTGGAGACATGAATATTCACCTGGACAATCCCAGCTCATCAGGCTTCCTGTCACTAATGCCATCATTTGATTTAAAACTAGTACAAAGCCCTCCAACTCACAAAGCTGGAAAAGCACCTGTCCTCATTTTCACCAGAAACTGTGCCATGGACACAATCTCTGTCACACCGCTGCATCTTTCGGATCATTACTTCATCCATTTCAGCACGACTCTACAAGGGAGGTCCACTGCTTCCTCCCCAATGGTCATTCCGCCGCAACCTCCGCAATCTGGCACCCAACCACTTCTCCTCTCTTGTTGCCTCCACTCTTCCATCTCCCAGCACATTCTCTGCTTATGAAGTGAATGAAGCCACCGAGTCACTCTGCTCCACTCTGCTCTTGTCTTAATAACTTGTGCCCTTTAGCCACTAGACCTGCTAGATCCTCTCAGTTGCACCCTTGGCTAAATGATACCCTCCAGTCTCTACGCATCAATCTTAGAGCTGCGGAACGGAAATGGCGCAAAACAAAAGATCCTGGTGATCTATTGAAATTTCAGGAATTACTGTCCTCATTCTCTGCCAGCGTCACTGATGCAAGGAAAGCTTTCTACACTGACAAAATTCTCAGCTCTACTGACTCTCAGAAACTATTTTCAACATTCAAAACTCTGCTCACCCCTCCATCTCCACCTCCTACCAACAGTCTAGCAGCTGACACCTTTGCCTCATTCTTCACTGACAAAGTGGCAGCTACAAGCAAACAGTTTACTCAACTGGCCACTCCTGAACATTCACTACCACAAACTCCTTCAAGCCCAACCATCTCAGGCCCTACTGCTTCATTTTCCTCTTTTTCCCCTGTCACTGAGAATTGTGTGTCCAAGCTTCTCACGTGCAGCCGCCCTACTACATGCCCACTTGACCCCATTCCGACTAAAGCCGGGCGTACACTGTGCGACTTTTTCACTTTTTTGAGCCGATTTTCCAGTCGTGCGAGAAGCCACGACATCGGGGCGAGTTTTGCGCCGAGCGGTCGTGTAGTGTACAGGGGGTTACGAGAGGCGATTAACACCACGTGACCAGCCGCCGATCAGCAGTCGTGAGGTCGCAGGGACTTCTGGTGTGTTTAATATTTCGCTCGTCCCTCGTGAGGGTATCGCACTGTTGAAGCGGCGCTGCGAGCAGCTGCGAGCAGCTACGATCCAAAAAGTATCAGAACCGCTCACGGCGCATGCGCGCGCAATCCTGCATCAACGCCGGCCGGTCGCTCGCTATTTCCCTAATAACACACGCTGTTCGTTTTTGTTTCTACACGTTTTTTTACTCACAAAGATTGTCAAGAAAGCGTGTTTGTCGTGTTCATGTCAAATTAAACTGATCACAAAACACAGATTCACTTTCTTTATTTCGTTTTCCTCATCCAACCCCCATAAATCCCTGTGTGTCCTCCTGCAGCACTCCCGAAGAACAACAGGCAAGACAAAAAAGTCTGACGTGTTGAGTAAAAACTGCTATTTTTAGCACATTTTTAGGGCCGACGTGTTGCTACCAGACGTACAGTGTGAGCAGTCAGGTCGCATGCGAGAACTGGGTCGTGCAGTGTGAGCACATGACTCGTGAGATCTGCTCTGCGAGGAAGTCGTACAGTTTGAGCTGAAGCTGAACGCTGCGAGTGAAAAAGTCGCACAGTGTACGCCCGGCTTAAGCTGCTCCAAGCTATTGCTCCTACAGTAGCTGCAGCAGTCACACATGTGATCAACGCTTCACTGACATCCGGTACATTTCCCACCTCTCTCAAGCATGCTCAGGTTAAACCGCTGCTAAAAAAACCCCATCTCTTCCTCCAAATCATGTGGAGAACTACCAACCTATCTCTCTCCTCCCTTTTCTGTCCAAAATCATTGAAAGGGTGGCTTTCAAGCAGATCACAGAATACCTCACACAAAACTGTCTGCTTGACCTTTACCAATCTGGGTTCAAAAAGGGCCACTCCACTGAAACTGCTCTGTTAGCAGTGACGGAATCCTTAAAAGAAGCTAGAGCGACAGGCAAATCCTCAGTGCTTATCCTGCTCGACTTATCGGCTGCATTTGACACTGTCAACCATGGCTTCCTTTTGTCCACACTCTCTAGCATGGGCATCACAGAGAAAGCACACGCCTGGTTTGAATCGTACCTCACAGGACGATCATTCAGTATCTTGGCTTGGACAATCCTCTACCGTGCACCATCTTGCCACAGGAGTCCCCCAGGGCTCTGTACTAGGACCTCTTCTCTTTGCCATATACAACACCTCACTGGGTGAGATCATTCGATCACATGGCTTCTCCTACCACTGCTATGCAGACGACACCCAGCTCTATCTGTCATTTCCACCAGACGACCACACTGTCTCTGCACGAATATCAAACTGTCTCTCTGACATATCAAAATGGATGAAATCCCACCATCTCCAACTCAACCTCTCTAAAACTGAACTACTTGTCATCCCAGCAAAACCATCCATACAGCACAATATCTCTATCCAAAATGACTTCCTATCTCTGGCTCCTTCAAAGGCAGTTCGAAATCTGGGTGTTGTGATTGATGAACACCTGACCTTTAAAGATCATGTTGCCTCTGTTGCCCGTTCATGCCGCTTTGCGCTGTATAACATACGAAAGATCAGACCATACCTAACACAACATGCCACCCAGCTCCTGTTCCAATCTACTGTCATCTCCCGCCTCGATTACTGCAATGCCCTTCTAACTGGTCTCCCAGGCAGTACTGAGACCTCTTCAAATGGTCCAGAACGCAGCGGCACGTCTGGTCTTCAATCAGCCAAAAAGAGCACACGTCACCCCTCTATTCATTGAGCTCCACTGGCTACCGCTAGCAGCATGCATCAAATTCAAATAGCTAACACTAGCATACAAATTCCGAGACGGTACGGCTCCCATCTACCTGAATCCTCTTGCAAAGGCTTACGTCTCGGCCCGGCCGCTCCGGTCATCTCAGGATCGTCGGCTAGCAGTGCCTACACCACGCTCAGGACAATCCAGGCTCTTCTCATGCATCGTTCCACAAATGTGGAATGACCTTCCTAACACTACCAGAACTGCAGCTTCCTTTTCTATTTTCAAGAAACTCCTGAAGACCCTGCTCTTCAGAGAGCACCTTCTTAGCTAGCACCCTGCCTGCACCCGTCCCCCCTCTCTACTGTCCACTCCTTGTTCCCTACTCTCCATGACTGATGTCAATGTTGTTGTTGTTATTGTTAGCCTCAAGGGCAATATGCCGATTATCACTTGTAAGTCGCTTTGGACGACAGCGTCTGCTAAATACATAAACATAAACATAGAACTTTAGAAATTTCTGCAGTTATTAAAAAAGACAAGCTGAAAAATCACACGGTTCTAAGTATTCAGACCCTTTGCTGTGACACTCACATATTTAACTCAGGTGCTTTCCATTTCTTCTGATCATCCTTGAGATGGTCCTACACCTTTATAGGAGTCCAGGTGTTTGATTATACTGCTTTGACTTAATTAGGAAAGCCACACACCTGTCTATATAAGACCTTGCAGCTCAAAATGCATGTCAGAGCAAATGAGAATCAAAAGAACTGCCTGAAAAGTTCAGAGACAGAATCGTGGCCAGGCACAGATCTGGCCAAGGTTACAAAAAATATATTCTTCACTTAAGGTTCCTGAGAGCACAGTGGCCTCCGTAATCCCTAAATGGAAGATGTTTGGGACGACCAGAACCCTTCCTAGAGGGTCCGTCCGGCCAAACTGAGCTACCGGGGGAGAAGAGCCTTGGTGAGAGAGGTCAAGCAGAACTCAAAGATTACTGTGACTGAGCTCCAGAGATGTAGTCAGGAGATGGGAGAAAGTTGTGAAAAGTCAACCATCACTGCAGCTCTGCATCAGTCAGGGCTTTATGGCGGAAGTGGCCCGTCAGAAGCCTCTCCTCAGTGCAAGACATATGAAGGTCTGTATGGAGTTTCCTAAAAGACACCTGAAGGACCCAGAGATGGTGAGAAATAAGATTCTCTGGTCTGATTAGACCAAGATTGAACTTTTTGGCAACAATTCTAAGCTGTATGTGTAATGAAAACCAGGAACTGCTCATCACTAGTCCAATATAGTCCCCACCGTGAAGCACGGCAGTGGCAGCATCATGCTGTGGGGTGTTTTTCAGCTGCAGGGACAGGAAGACTGGTTATAATAAAGGGAACGATGACTGCGGACAAGTACAGGAATATCCTGGACAAGAACTGTCTCCAGGGTGCTCAGGACCTCAGAGTCACCCAAAGGATTACTTCCAACATGACAATGACTCTAAGCACACAGCTAAAATATCAAAGGAGGGAATTCACAGCAACTCTGACGGCTCTTGAATGCCCCAGCCAGAGCCCTGACTTAACCCAATTGAGCATCTCTGGAGAGACCTAAAAATGTCTGTCCACCAACGTTCACCATCCAACCTGACAGAACTGGAGAGGATGTGCAAGGAGGAATGGCAGAGGATCCCCAAATTTACCTAGAAGACTCATGGCTGTATTAGCTCAAAAGGGTGCTTCTACTAAATACTGAACAAAGGGTCTGAATACATAGGACTATGAGATATTTCAACTTCTTTTTTAATAAATAAGCACACATTTCTAAAATTATGTGTTTTTCTGTCAATATGAGGTGCTGTGTGTGCATTAATGAGGAAAACTAGTACAGGAACCCTGTCACATAGCCGAGTCAACCTTAATGTTTCCTTTCACTTTAATTTTTTGCACTTTATGAGAACGCTATTTTTTTGTTTACTGGACATTTGTTTTAATTAGCACATTTGGTTACTTGAATGAGTAAGGCTGACTGAGCTTAGTTACTTTACTGATTGTAATAATCAAGTTATGGCTACTAGCCAGTTTCATGTGGAGCTCAATTAGAGCAGGGCTTGAGCCCTGTTCATTTTAAAAATGTTACTCCAAGTAGGCTAATTACGGGCCCTGCTTAAAAGTATGCTGGAGTTTTATGTTTTATCTTTTGTAGTTGTTTGCACTTTACCTTACGGTTGTAAAGTTATGTTTACATTTTATGATTCAGCTGCTGTTGGAGAAAAAATAAATATGGCAATTTTTTTCATTGCCTAACTTGAAAATGAAGCAGTAGTCCTTTTGCATAGATAATGTTTAAAGTTTAAGTGTGCATGACAGAAGGTTTGTGATGTTGGTTCCAAAAATTTTTTCCTTTTGTTAATGGGGGGACCTCACATATATCAGTATCGGAAATTAAGAGGTAGATAAGCATCCCTAGATTTTAGCAAATGGCTGCAATATAACAAAGAGTGAAAAATTGACAGGGGTCTGAATACTTTCCGTACCCACTGTAGCTCCATAACACAACTGCACAAGTATAGGACAGGAAATTGACTCATGAACTACAAACAGCAACTTTACCTTTGAGGTATGCAAGCCCGAAGAGATGATGCTCCACAAGCCCGATGTGTGCCACCACCATATCAAAAACATCTTTACAAAGTGCCTTAATGTCACAGATCAGCTCCAGTTTTTGAGAGTTCAGCAGCACCACGCCCACCTTCCTCTGCACTTCATCCCCCTTACCACGTTTCTTGTGTTGGAGATGAAAAAAATGAAGCAATAAATTAAAAATAATTAATGAAACCATACAAATAAGCTAGCTTTAGAGTGGCACAGGTATACATAATTACCATTATTGAAGAGGGCACAGTTAAGGGAATGCAAAGTTCACTCGTCATCTTCACAAACTCAGGTCCAAGAAAGTTCTGATGTTTTTATAAAAGCAAAATAATTTGATTAACAAAAAGATCACATATGTTTTCTTGTGCAACACACTAAATTTAGTATTTTCCTGGTGTAAACCAGCAACCTGTACATCTTAAATTACAAAAAATAATTACACTACAAACACGAGAAAGCAAAAACACCTCATCTTTGCTTGTCTGATTAATCTACAACTAATCTAGAAAGAGGATTAGAGGTTTTACTGCTAACATCAGCAGATTTGTTCCAGCGTATGACACTCATACTAACACTGTTACACCATTTGTTACAGCGGAGAAATCAATCAGAGCGTAACCTCAAAGTCCCACACAATTATAGTTACCACAGAGAGGCTCAAATGAATTATACTTTGCAGTCCACAGTTCGCATACACAACATTTAGTGAGCATGGCATCAACAGTTGCGGCCAATAAACTCAAGCCGTTAAAACTGTACAGACCTCATCAGATTTTACATTATGAAAGAGCTTTGAGCTTCTTGGTTGCTCTGCAGTAAGAATGTTTAAATTGTGCATTTGCTTTGCTTTCTAGAGTCGGTTGTAGCACGTGTTTTTAACTTAATGAATAAAAAAGAAGAAGCTAAGAAAACATGTCATTTTGAGAGATTACAGGGCATCACACTTAGAGCACATCTCATACCGTCATATAGACAAACCTTGTTTTTGCGTAGTGGTACAGAGGAATGATACAGAGGGTCCTGAAAGTCAACCACAGGCTCGTCTGCAGGGTAGAAATTGGCCCTGGAAAGCCTTTTGGCCAGGTGTGTCTGAAGCCGCTGCACCTCCTCCTCTTGCCTCTGAAGAAGGACCTCAGCTCCAACCAGACCTTCATCAGCTGACCCCTCATTTTGCCTAAAGAAGGACAGCTGTTAGCTGCAGTTTTCAGGAAGTATCCAAGTCTCAATACTTTATTAAACACAATAATGATTTTTTTTTCATGTCTGTGTGACAGCGTAGCATGGGAAGGCCGTTCAGGTCTGTAATGCCAGAGATTTAGGAGGACACTGAGAAGGTTGAATGTGAATATCACATTGGATGACCTCACTAGAGAAGCATCCTGCTGTGTAACACCAGCTCTGTGTGTGGCCCAAAACACCAAATGGGACAGCTTTGTCTGTGGCTTTCGTGCTCAGTGGAGGGGTTGTAGAGCAACTACCAGCTCTTCAATGGGAGGTGGGGGTGGGGGGTGTAAAAGACACAATCAATGACTTAAGACAATAATGCTGCTGTGAGCTGGCAGGCATTACCTACTCAATCATTAGACGAGTCAGTAAATCACCTTCACACACGACAGCTTAGCCAGAGGGAAACAGCTGCTACAACAATTAGCCTTAATGATGAATTAGCAGTGTTGATGCAAAGAGCTGCCCACACGAATGGAATATGACAACGTTTTAGTTTCATATTATTGAACAAAAACTTGCCAAAGAAAAAAGGTTCTGGGTTCAGAATCTTATTACCAATAAACTCTCTATGCAGAATTTAGATGAGCTTGGGCCTGTATTTGTTTCCTTTTCCATACAGTAAAGACATTTGGGTAACACTATGCTAGCCTTTCAATGGACTAGCAAATAATTTGTCCTGGGTTTATCAAATCTCTTACCAAGTGGGGACAAGTGGAAAAACACTTGCTCATATTTTATGTGTAAATATGCAAGCCTTTGTGAATACTAGAGCAGCCATGCACAAGTTTTATGGAAGCAGCCAGCCGTACAGTTCTGACTGCAGCCTGACAGGAATTGATGAGCTGATTGCAAAACATAAATAAAAACACAAGATAAAAAAAGGTTAGTTGATTTCCTATCAGAAATGTGATACGGTGATGATTATAATCTCTAACTCAAGGTTTTTACTTCAGAAAGATCTCAAATATTTTGCTTGTCAAGTACGTTATAATCTCTGTTTCTCACAATGAAGAGGTAATCAAAAAAAAATCTGATAAAAAATGAATGTAAAAAATGAGCGGAGGAGCATTGTTCAACAGTAGCCTGAAGGAAGACAGGTCGGAAGAAGCAACACGCAGCAGTCAGCAGGTTACCTGAGTCTGTTGTGACTTGTCAGTGACAAGGAATCATGCTCTGATGAAAGTGCCAGCTGAGAGCTGTACCTCGCCACATCGCCGGGTTTCTTAGCTGCAGGGACACAGGAATATCAGCTACACACACCAACGACTTTATTTTACCATTCAAACACACCCCTCCTCATGCTGCCACCTGCACGGTGGTGTGATTAAACCTGCAGGAACATGTTTTAGCAGAACACTAGTTACGAAGCTCTTTTGTCACGCTAAGCCAGAGCCATAAGTATAATCTGTTCTCAAAAGTCTGTTACAAGAATCATCACTGCATTAAAGTAACTGCTACCTTCACTGTATCTACCCAGATTCAGAGTACTAAAACCGTTATACACACATTGCCAGAATTAGCTACCTCATGCCACAGCGACATAGCAAATGAAAACATGTAATTCATAGCATGCAGCTGATTCTGAAGTAAAAGCAAAGAGCCATGACAACTTTGGAAATCTAACTCTGTTGTCAATGGAGACAAAGACTGATGCATTTCCTCCACGTGTTTAGTAAAATGCATTCACTTTTACCATTAGGTCATAAGTCCAAAACAAGCAGAACTCTACATCTAAACTGAATTAGGCACACAACCATGACACCCTATAAATGTGCAGCACCAGCCACCTTAGACACATCCATCCATCCATTTTCTAAACCCGCTTATCCGCACAGGGTCACGGGGGGTGGTGCCTATCTCCAGCAATGTCAGAGCAGGCAGGCGGAGTACACCCTGGACAGACCACCAGTCCATCGCAGGGCAACACAGAAACACACGGGAAAAACAACAATTTTTAGAGAAACCACTCAACCTGACAGTCATGCTTTTGGACTGTGGGAGGAGGCCGGAGTACCCAGAGAGAACCCACACATGCACCAGGAGAACATGCAAACTCCATGCAGAAAGACACCAGGTTGGGATTTGAAGCCAGGACCCTCTTGTTGCAAGGCAACAGCGCTAGGCACTGTACCACTGAGCAGACACTCCAGTCACATAAAATAAATCATACTATGTATAACTGCTGATGAAATGTGAGTGAAAGGTTCCCCACGTGTTACCTATCCTGTAGTCTGGATCAGAGGAGGCCAGCGAGGGGCTTTCACTGGAGGAGCTGTAATCACTGTGGCACCTTTGGTGGGTGTGGACAGGATCTGAAAGCAGACAAAGTGTCAAAGAACACAATCCATGCAAATGAGAAAAACAATACTTTCATGCACATTGTTCAACTTAATAGTTATGTGGACATGTTTGGGATTTTATTGTGGTTAAGGTAAAACATTCTGCAATTTTTTTAACATTATACCCCTACCCCCCTGTCCACACACACACACACACACACACGCGCGCACACACACACACACGTTTTTACAAGAATTAAAAAAACGTGAATCAATGAACTGTTTTCTTTTAACAGTAAATTTCCCAAGAACTATTTTGACCAACTATTATCCTACAGAATTAGCAACACAAACAGGCATTAGTCGTGCTAGTGTTGATAAACAATGATAATGACGACACAGAGGTTTACATGAGTGAGACGAGCCTCCCGTTAGGTTAGATGTTTTTGTTCATGCATTGTGCTTTTTCCTGCTCTGGTGGAAGAACCACGGCAGTAAATAAAGATCAATTCATCCGATTATGTTATCTTTTATAATCATTGCTATATAAACCTTATGCCGTTTGGTGTTCAGGAAAAAACACAATACTGCATAAAGTCTGTCACATGCTTTTCTGCTGAGAAGCCCAACCTGAAAGTCTTGCTCTTCAGCATCAACTTCACATTGTGAAAAAACAAAATTTTCCAGTAACTACTTAGGAATTTTACTTCAGTTTCACAACACAACAAACCTCTGTCTGTAACAACGTCTTTATTTGGTAAACACCTTGAGCAAAGGCGCTTCAGCTTGGCCGCAGCTATGCTGTCGGTCTGAAGCGGAAAGACTGGTCAGACTGTCACCCGAAACAAATTTCAACATCTTCCAGCGATAAGTGAGTCACGAGTTTGAGGTACACACGATTGTTACGGAGCACTTAATGGCCATGTACCCATGCGGTTAAAAGTTCAAACAACAAACAGACACACATGCTGTTACCCACACATGTGGTAACTTGCCCATTTCTGATACAACCTGATGTGCTGAGCTTTAAAAACCTATTGGGTAAAGGGAAGAATATAATTAGAGGGAAAACCATTTATCTCTTAAAAACAACCATTACTGTCAATACATTTAAATTAATTTCTTGGGACAGTCAGTAGACGAAACTGTTGGAAAATAAAGAAATAATATCATCAGCTAGATTTATTTAAGTCTTAAGCATGTCAAAACGATCAAGCTTTGTTAAATGTTTAAAGATGACATTTGGAAAAAATCCATCCCCGCTTCAAACCAGCATTTCAGTCAATCTGTGCAATTAAAATCCAAGTTCACAAATTTTATTCAACACATTTGCAGTGGTCTCTAGTATAAATGAATGCTTTGTGGGTCAATCTCTTTTGGGAAAATGACTCTGGCACTCCTGTTTCAGGAACTAGAAGTGAGCCAGGGGAGATTGTGAGCTGAAGACAGCAGCATTTGGAGTCTTACTTCTTGATATTCAGAAATCTTGCCTCTTATTTGCCAACAGCAACGCAACTAACACTGACTCGGTTTGCTCTGCGACTTTGATTTTTCTTTTATCTCCAGAAATAACAAGCCTGGAGGAGTTCTGCCACATTGTGGAGTTGCTAATGTTAATAGTTAGCTTCTACCAACAGAGACTTGCTCTGTTCTCTCCTGGACGCTAATGCCACTTCTGCATCTGGCTCAGCTTGGTCCAGGCTGGGTGGCATCGCTCTGGGTCCTGCACTGGTAGGTTTTGTTCACACACACTTGCCAAGCACGCAGAAATCTCTGAGCATGTGGGTGAGGTGAAAGATGTGCAGAGACGTCTGTGGTGTCTCCTTTAAGTTAAACAAAGGCTGTCGTGAGCAGTGTTGCTTTTGGAGACCGACTCTGATGTTGCATACAGACTGTTGGGTCTGTCCCCGCGCTGGCCAGCTCAAGCCTCGACAGAGCTGTTTCTCTGTGTGCGCACGTCTCAGTGAGAGAGAAAACTGCTGCGGATTCAGCGTAGGGGCTGCATGACTTAATTTTTTTTAAGTCGACAGTCAAGTAATAAAAATCGAGTAGACTTTGACTAGTTGTTGATGACGTCATACACCTGAAGCGGCGCAGGGGGGGGGGGGTCGGTTGGTTCGCTGGAGTTTTTGACAATTAAAACTGCGCCCTCATTTTCAACGTTAGACACATCTCATTTAACAACGGTAGTTTCTGCTTCAGCCCTCTCCCCCCTCCCCCTGTGCAGCAGCCGCAAACTCACTGATGCGCCTGCAGCCTCTCGGAGTTCCTGCTGCTCTAAACATTAAAATAATTATTTCATTTTCTGTTCCTCACTTCTGATTACCTTCAATGGTGTCTGTTTGTTGCAACCACCAGGTACAAAAACTAACTTGTTTGCATTCGACTATTTTTCTGTCCTGCCTGTTTATTATCTTCCTGCATCTCCTCTCAATCCTAAAGAAAAACTGCTACCTGGGTTCATATATATTCACCTTATGAGTTACCTTTGAACTGCAGTTCTAAAAGATCTACCGACCGCAAAAACAGCGGAGTGCGCGCTGCTCGCCGGCCGCATCAGTGATCGGTGTGTCACCGAGGACAAAACAGGTGATGCGCCCCGCTCCACAGCTGCGAAAAGCATCAGGCACAAATAAAAGACAGAAAACATAAAAGGAAATGAGCCGACATGAACGATCACGTGTTAAATTTGTTTTTGAGGTGGCGACACCTAATATGATAATGTTACTGTGGCCATGCTCAGGACGCAGATGTCTGGAGCGCGTCAACAATCAGAGCTTTGCATGCGCAAACTGGTTAAGGTTAGGATGGGGGTGAGGGGAAGGTTAAATTGCAAGAGGGTAAAGGTCACAATTTGGTCAAATGTCCGTTTTACGGTGGGTGTCAGTACCGACGCTCTGGCACAGCGCGTCACCTCCCGACGCGCAGGGGCTCATCACCTGCTGTCTTTTCCGAGGACTGCATCTTGTCGGTCATTATCACGTGACAGTGTCAGCGACTAGTCGATGACAGGCATAAAAAGTCACTACAGAGCAGTGAAGTCGACTACTTCATACAACCCCTACTCCACAGTATCCAGAATAATAATGAATCGCGCATGCTGGAAGCCCCAGCTGGCAGATTCTACCCGCCAAACGGAGGCTACCCCTAATGGTAGGCATGAATTTCAGCTGGCCGATCAGTTGGCAGTGGATGTGTTGGGTCAGCAGTCAGCTTGGGGATGAGGGTTGAAAATACCACCAGTTGAGCACAGGCTAACCAGATGTGAACACTATACCTGGGTGTGACCAAGCCGGCCCAAATGAGAAGGCGGCATAAATCAACAACATTCTTCCCCGTCGCAGGCCAAAATGGTTGAGTCCATAATAATTTTTCCACTGTGATGTAAAATTGACATGTTTAAAATAAAATAAAAATACATTTTAAATAGACCATCATGTTTCCAGTCAGGTAATGACTGAGAAGGATGGCACTCATTGCTGGAATTATAAAAATGCCAGTCCAAGCATGCATTTACAGAAAAATGTAACAACTTGGTAGAAATAAATGTTTGAGTGTGTCATTTAAAAGAAGTAAAGGTTAGTCTGCTTGCTGAACCAATTCAAGATTAAATCAAAGGCTCAACAGGTTTGCATGAACAAATATCAAAACATTCTCGAGCTTTCCCCATTAAGTCTTGAAAAACAAACAAATCTATAACACAATCATGAAAATAATTCTCCCAGTCCCCTTGAGTTGTTCTCCTTTATTGGTTTTCATACTGAACCTGCCTGATCTCTAAGCCACATGACCTGCTGCCAAGAGCCGGAAAAGTCCAATAATGAGAGGAATTCCATCATCCTCTACGCATGACTCCAATTACAGCTCCTAGGCTTACGAGGAAAGTCTCCACTCACTGGAGATTGAGGCATCTCAGCACAAAAAGGGAAAGGGGGAAGGGTTGCAAAGGCACAAGGATGAGACTGAGGTAGGGGCTGGGTAGGAACATGCCCTCGCACACACAGACATGCACACAGTGTTGGCATTTGCAAGAGCACATACAAAGAGGAAAGAAGTGGTGTGTGTCTCCGTGGGACCCCAAGACCACTGGTGTGCCATCACAGTCCTGCAGAGGGAAGAAAAACTAAAACAAAACGCAAGAGGAAAAAGATTGTCAAAAAGACTTGACAAGTTACACATTTTTAAACACTAAAAATGCAGACTACAGCAAAGTAAACTTGACACTATTAATTTGTGCCCATCTTGAGGTTGATTTGCTGATATCACTTATAATGTGTGAGCAATTTGATGCTGAAAAAGGACCCTACAGATATTTCTCTCAATACTCTTTCATGTTTTAAAACTTACAAACAAATCTGTTTAATTATAAATTGTCTTTATAAATCTTATTCTTGTAATATTAATCAATGTTCATAGGACAGCAGAAGGGGGGTTTCAGAGTATTCTGGTGCTGGATCAGATCTTCGCAGAGCTGTGACTGTGTGAGGACTCTGTCCTGTAGAAAAAACATGCTGATTCTTAGAGAATAATTCATGTAGACCAGCACAAATTGGCAGTAGCAGCAGCTCTGCACCTGATCCAGCTTAGTCAAAAGGCGGATATTAGAGTTGTAAATGTTATTGCTGCACAGCCAAAGCCTTTATGTATATCTATGGTGATCTGATGCTTTTGCTTACTTTCCTGCCAGTTATGATACAGTTTTTAATCCTCGGAGGGTTCTTCGCGCTTCCAGGGTTTAACAGAAAGTCCAAGTCGGTTTCTGTCTTTGAAACTCTATGTTCTATTGACACCCTGTTAACAAAAAGCCTGAGATCATTCTTGAACTATTGTAAAATATCAAAAAGCCTCTAATGACGTCAAGCAGAGAGAAAACTGGAAGAACAGAGGAAGAAAAAGAAAAACTCACTAGAGGTGAAAAGTCACAGTTGAAGAAAATTGTGCTTGCTTGGTGGCTAGCTCAGCATTAAAAATAGCTGCCAGAGAAGCATGGAGGCTGAAAACAGATGTGGAGGGGTGGAGTTGGGGGTTGTCGG